TTTAGCCAAACCTGAAAATGGTTTAGATTGTTGGAGTGTCTTTTGCAAAGGTGACTGTGTTATGAAAAACTGTTTGGAGAAGTGCAGGAAGAGTGGTGAGAATTATTTTTCTGCTGTGAGAAATGAGCCAAAGTGATTAAGAAAAAGTGAAATCATCTCATTTTTAAAGTGAACACAAAGCACTGTCAGATTCTTTTAGTGTTTTCTTAAAAAGACTAAAACTAATAATTAAATATCAAAAATATCAAATAACAGAATAAACTCAGCAATTATTATCCTGGAACAGGACAGTCTGAGGTCCAAATGTTTTAGATCTCAGTAAAATTGTTTGATATTTTTATGTAAACCAAAGAATGAGGATTTAGAAACATTAAAAAAAAACAAAGTTGTGACAGACTGCAGATTCATGAATTTTCACTAATTTGCTCAAAGACTGTCCAGAGCTAACACTGTGTCCAACTCACCAATGCTGAGAGAGCTGAAGAACTCTCTATGTTAAAATATATTTCATTTAAAACACTTCTTAAATAGAGACATAAATGGTAAAAATGTTTATCAAGAACAATTTATTAATGAAAAGCAGGAATAACGTTGATAAACATTTGGATTCATATCTGTATTATTTGTGTGGTAGTTCCTCACTGTGACCCCTGGAGGGCAGTGAACTCTCATCACAATCTACAGTCAACAAGACAAAAACACCACAGAGCAGTTTCTGTTCAAACATTCTGCATTAAAAGTATTTATTATGCTGTAAGCTACGATATGATAATAAAAGAGTTTAATCACAAAGTAAATCAAACAGAGGAAATTCAGACGATGATGTTTCAGGAGCAACTATCACATCACCTGATCTGTAAACAGTGATGACATCACCAAATCAGACAAAGGATTAAAAAACTTCAGTAGCTCTTCTAGCAGGTTTTATCTGAATAATAACATCACATTTGTTCCTGTATTGATGTGATGAGAAGAAATGAGACCTGCTGAGGCCTCTGATACATTTATCAGCTATAGTAGGATAATGGCTCAAATGTGCAGCTCCAACATGATTTGGTTTCAATATATTTATATTTAATGATTTCAATTAATTTCATTTGAACTTTTTTAAGTTTCATTCATCTTTTGCTTTCAAATTCACACTGATGTGTTCAGCCTAAAGCTCTTTCAAACACCCTCTGAGCATCTTCAGCGAGCTTATCAAGGATCAAATTCAGAATTTTGTAAGTTGTGGTGAAAGAGAGACCCATTGCTATTGGGATTCCAATAAATGGAATCCATCTGCATACTTCCTCTGCTGCAATTAATGCAGCTACAGCCCCAAGTTGGACTATCACCTTCAAGAGGAGCCCCGTAGTTATTTCTGCTGCAGCCAGTGGTGACATGATGACAGCACGCAGATCAGCATATGGCACACCTGTTCTGGCAGAAAGTCTCTTCAGAGATGGGATATCGAGACCAAAAGCAAAAACATAATGTGTGACAGCACCAACCAGCACAGCAGCATCAACAGCAATAGAAAGACCAGGAACTGGAACAGCTGCTCCAGCTGCAGACAGAGTAGCCCAGTATTTTACTTTGGATTTCAGTGCTTGTTTCTTCTTCCTGATGATCTCTGGGTTGATGTTGGGCATGGCACACAGCAGAGCATCTCTCTTGTGTCCAGGAAGGTCTCTGTCTAAGGTCTGCTGTAAGAGAGGTAAGTCGTACAGGTAGAGCTCAAAGCTGGACACCAGGAAGACCTGTGGAGACTCGATGCCCAAATCTCTGAGTCCTGTGTCACAGAAGAAACACACAGTGTGAAGATTAAGTATGAAATAATAAATGATCTAAAACTAGGCTTTTCCATTCAGGGGATTCATTGACTCCTCTGACTCTACAGAGTTATAAAGGATTATAGTTTAGTTGTGTAGGTCAAAGCATATTATTTTTGGGTTACTTACACTGCATTAGCTATTTAATTTCCACTTGTTGTTTATTATTATTATTATTATTTTATGTGTAAAAGCCATTTTCATAGAATAATCTTGGATCCTATCTGCTGCTGTTTGTCATGGGAATGATTAGAGTGTTTTTTTATGTAAGATTAATATGAAGAGAAACTGCAGCCCAGAGAGTCTGAACAATACCAAACAAACACTGAGTTAGAGATTAACAGCAGCAGGCAGCTGTTCTTCAAGAAACATCAAACAACTAAAGTATAATTTCTGTTGATGGAGACAAAAACTGGAGATAAAACTGATTATATGTTTATACATTGTTGACCCAATAAATGAATTTGATTGGATTGATAATTTTATCTTGTCAGTCAAAAATGAACAAATAAATTAAAAATCTGTTCTCATCCAAAATTTGGCTATCAGACTGAAAGAGGCAGTAGCAGTTTAATGAGTGATCAGTGTAATAAAGTTCAGCTGTCCAATAAAAGCCTGACCTCTCCAGCAGCTGCAGGAGGACAGATCTAAATAACACTTGAAACATCAAATAAAGTTCATACAGCTTCTCTCAGTGATTACTGATAATCAAATTAATTTGTAATTTTTCTGAGTATGCGATGATGCAAACAACAGAAAATAAAGTTTATTCCATTCACACACAGCCACAAAGTGAAAATTTTTAAAGAACACATCCAGAAATTAATCTCACACTGGGATAAATGATCACTGAACACTCACCTTTAACACAGTCCTCTCTGATTTTTGTCAGAGTCCTCTCTGCACTGAAGTTTCTCTTTCTTCTCTCAGCATTTATATCGTTGTCAATCTTTGATCGAACAAAGTAGAACTTTTTCTTCATCCTCTGAATCTCCTGAGCGAGTTTCACATCATTTTCCGTGAAGCGAGTGGCTGAGATGATGATGAACAAGTCAAACTTCTCAAATCCAACAAGCTCCAAGTACTTATCAGCTGGAAACTTGGTGCTGCCGATTCCAGGAAGATCCCATAAAGTAACATTGGGATAGTTTGGATGGGGGTACGGTGTGACCTCTATGGTGGTTTCTGTAACACCAGTAGGAGCAGCTCCCTCGTCATCATCGGACAGCCCTCTGAGGGCATTAACAAAGGTGGATTTACCAGCCCCAGATTCTCCTGTGATGGCAATATTTAGTGTGATGTTTTTCTCCTTCATCATTAACTCAGTGATCTTTGCAGCAGCTGCTGGTTGGTTATTCTTCAGCACAGCTTCATTAATTTCTTCTTTAACTAATGCAAATCCAAATTGGTCGTCTGTGCTTGTACTGAAATACTGAAACAGCAAAAGAGGACAAAATTTACTTTTGTGATTTGGGAGGCATGAAATGTAACTATCACAATCTAACATTATACACACAACTGGCCTAAAATGCAACATTTAAATAATTACACAAAAAAATAAAATACCTTAAATATAAGATGGAGCCAAATTATGGAGAGTCATAATTAATTTCTTAATATTTATTTTTTTTCTGTCTCAGAGGACTGAAATATTTTCATTGGATTGAAATGGGCTTAAAATAAATCTGTGGTTGACATTTTCATCTCTGAATTGAAAAGTTAAAAACAAAATGTTTGCTAGGCTGGAAAGAAAATGATCC